AAAGAGAGAGAGAGAGAGAGAGAGAGAGAGAGAGAGAGAGAGAGAGAGAGCTTATTGTAATCCATATTATTCTCTAATATAGTGAAACCATCATCACCTCCCCATGGACATAGGCATCTCGCCGTACCATGTAAATCGCCTCATTCTTTATTTTGGTTGTGTGATTTATTTTGTTTCCTTTTTTTATTGCACAACAATTGGTATTACAATGTGATTTCGATGGGATTTATGGCGGTGGTTTCAAGAACGGGAGCAAATATTTGTGATATGAGCTGGTCAAATCAAGTAAGCAAAGTTTGCTATTTTTGTTCCTGATTGTTGCTGAGCCTGATTGGTGTAATTCTGGTGTCGTAAGTCTGCTACAACAATTTTGGTCGAGGCTATGTGATCCGATGGAGTCATGGATACATCCACCTCAATTGTGGAAAAGATGTCTATCATGTGGTTACACATTTCATCAAAATCAATATGATTAAATTTGACGATAAAGAGAACTTTGGCATGTTGCGATGTGAGGTGATGGATGCGTTGTGCTCTTTTAAGTTGGAGGAAGTTCTGGAGAGAGAAAAATACCCTAAGGAGATTTCTGAGAGAGATTGGTTGAAGATGAACTGAGTGCTTGTAGCTTGATAAAAAATTGTCATCTCCATAGATCAAGTATGAGGTGACGATGGAGACTTCAGTTATGAAGTTGTGAAAGTTTTTGAAGAATAAATATATGATGTAGAGCATGGAGAATCATCTTCATATTAAGCATTGGCTCTACATGTTTCAGATGAGACATAGGATTATAATTGATGAGTATTTAAATGACTTCACAAAATTGTTGGTAGATATTTTGAAAATTTGGATGAGGATGTTGGAGATAGAGACAAGGCACTCCTATTGAATTCGCTTCCGGATGAGTATGAAAACTTCAAGATAATACTCATTCGTGGGAATAAGGTCTTGAACTATGGTGAGATAACTACTGCGTTGCTGAATCATGAGTTTTGGTGCCGGGATAAGAAATCTACAAAGATGAATTTGGCTGAGCCTCTCATGCTTAAATGAGGAATATTTGAAAAGTAAAAAGAATAAAACGGGCGACAATAGCAAGCAGAGCAAGTCTTGTGGGTACAGTCTTGGGAAGAATCAATGTGCTTTCTGTTTAGAGGCTAGTCATTGGAAGAAAGATTGCTTGAAGCCGAAGAAGGGAAAGGGAGTTTCCATGGAGTCAAAGGAAAACTTTATCGTGGAAGAACTTGTTGAAAACTCAGATGTGTCACTATCTGTAGTTTCTCAGAGATTGTACAATGATGGTTTATATTGATTCTGGATACTAGTGTTACCTATCACATTTGTCCCACTAGAGAGTGGTTATGTAGCTACAAGGAGCTTGATAATAGTGTTGAAACCATGAGAAATGATCATGCTTTTCACATAGTTGGTATAGGGAGCATCGTCATTAAAATGCATGATGGTATTATGAGAGATCTAACTGATGTGAGACATGTCGCTAATATCATGAAGAATTTGTTGTCTATTAGGGATTTAGAGACCAAGGATTACAAGATAGCATTGAGGCATGAGTTCTGAAGATATATCATGGAGTGATGGTTTTATTAAACTGAGTTCGTCACCATAACCTTTACCATCTTCAGGAAAGAATAGTGATCGAAATGATCGTTTTTAGGGCTGCAAGCGAACCAAACGTTCAACGAGCTACTTGTTGCTCGGTTCGATTAAAGCTCGTTTGTGATATTTTAACTAACTAAACAAACAAATTTGAACAACATTTTTAATACTCGATTCTTAAATAAACAAGCTTAAACACTAATGTGTTCGGTTCATTTATGTTCATGAACAACATCATTTGAAGCTCATGAAACAAGTTCGACATTAAGCTCGATTCGTGTTCGATTCAGAACTCATGAATAAGCTCAATAAATATATTCATATAGATTAATCATAATTTATTTTAAATAGACAACTGCTTTTATTATAATTATAATTTTATTTTATTTTATACCTTCAGTAGAATGAATTTATTCATAAACAAGAGACATTTCACATTTTTCAAGTTTGTTCGTAAACGAGCTCATTTGGTAGCTCAAAAATACTAGTTATGCATTTATTCATAACCCTGCTTATTTGATAGCTCAAGAATACTAATTAGATTTGTTCATGGACGTGCTTATTTGATAGTGTAAAAAATTCGCTAAAAATAGTCACGAACATGGCTTGTTAAGGCTTTTTTGTTTGAAGCACAATAAGCACTAAACGAACCAAACATGAACCGAACATGAACCAAATATGAACATCATTAATTTAAATGAACCAAACATGCCCACAAACAATAAGGCCCGAATCAAACACGAATCAAACTTGAACAAGCTAATAATAAATGAACTCAAACATGAACACTTACATGCTCGATTCAGTTCATTTGCGTCCCTAATCGTTGTTGCTGACAATTTCTTTTAATGAGACTATATTGTAGCATATGTAGCTACCTCATGCTAAAGATACTTTTCTTATGGCTTTAGTGATGCAAGAATTGATCAAAGGAGCAAGCACCTACAAGCTTGATTTATGTGAATATTGTTTGTTTGACAAGAAGATATGAGTATCATTTGGTACTACCATCCACAATTTAAATGGTATCTTGGAGTATGTTCACGCAGATGCTTGGGGCCCGATGAAGAAAACATCATTCAATGGACGACGATATTTTACCTCTTTTATTTATGATTATTCTATAGATGTTCGGGTGTACACCATGAGGTGCAAGACAGAGGAACTAGAGATTTTTAAAACTTAGAAGAAGTGGATTGATACTCAACTTGACAAAAAGATCTAGCTTATCAGATCAGACAATGAGGGCGAATACACTTCAGTTGTATTCTTGTAGGAGTGCCAGAGATCTAGAATAGAGCACCACTTCACTATTAGAGAGACACTATAGCAGAATAGGGTGGCATAGAGGATGAACTGAACTTCAGTGGAGAAAGTTTGGTGTATATTATTCAATGATGGGTTGGATAGAGTTTTTGGACTGTGGCTTTTGACTATGCCTGTCACTTGGAGAACTGTCTACCTTCTGTAGCTATTAGGAAGAAGACCTCAAAGGAGATGTGATTAGGGCATCATGATAGAGATTATGAGCTATTGAGAATATTTATCTGACCAACTTACTATTATATTTAGAAGGATAAATTGGAACAACATGAAAAGAAGGTGATCTTTATTGGCTTTAGGCGTAGTGTAAATGGCTTCAAACTCTATGATCTGGTAGAGAAGAAGATTGTCATTAGAAGGGATGTTAGATTTAATGAGGCAAGCATGTTGAAGCCTCAGGGATCAAAGTAGGTGTAGAGTTCCATTAGGACTACAGGTGCACTGTAGAAGTTGGAATTTGATGCAACTCCATTTATTCCACAGAAGCTAATCATTTCTACTAAGGTACCTGAATTGGATGCAGTTCGGGAGGTAGAAGATGATGTTAAGGATGAGACTCCTGATTAAGAATCTATTGCGAGGAATAGGACTAGAGCCAAAATGTCCCAAAACTAACTTAGTTGAGGGACCACATGGTATTTTCACTTTCAGTCATAGAGGTTGAAATTCTTAGTCACTACAAGGAGGTATTGAACAATCCTGATGGTGAGTTTTAGCAGAGGGTTTTGGATGAAAAAATGGAATATCTTCAGAATAATGCTATCTGGAGGGTGATGAATCTTCCTCCAGGGAGAATAGCCATATGGTGCAAATGGGTGTGTGCAAAGAATGAATGATCTCGTAGAGCTAATGTACAATACAAGGCTTGGTGGGTGGAAAAATGCTATGCGCAATAGGAAGGGATTGCTTATGATGAGATGTTCTCCCCAGTGGTTAAGCATCCCTCGACTCATGGGCACTTGACACTTGTAGCACACTATGGTTGGATTTTGGAGCAGCTCGGCCAAGACATTGCACAAGTACTTGGTATTGTGAGCAGGTTTATACATGATCCAGAAAAGAGTCATTGGCAAGTTATGAAGAGTTTCCTGATAAATAGTTGATTTGATTGAGGATTAGATTAGGAAGTTTTTTCCTTATTTTGTTTAATCCAAATCTATAAATAATAGGGGTGTTTGAAGCTATTGCAGGTATGCAAGAGCAAAAAAGAGAGAGAACTAGATAGCTTATTGTAATCGCTATTATTCTTCAATATAATGAAATCATCATCATCTCCCCGTAGATGTAGGCATATTCATCGAACCACATAAATCATCGTGTTCTTTGTGTCAGTTGTGTGATTTGTTTTGTTTCCATTATTTATTGCACAAGAGTGGCTAGTGGAGCTGGAGACCTAAGGTTTATAGGGGCAGGTGTAGAAAAAATAATGGGATGTCGAGTGGAATCAGGAATAAGAAAAAGCAGGGTGGCTGGAGATGTGGGAGAGGTGGTGTTTACAGTGATTTTGGATATTGGATAGAACATATTTGATTCATCAAATTGTATGCTAGATATGAGAATTTTGTCGGAGTTACTGTAACATTTGTAGCACTTATGAGAAGAGGCACGACCAATGAAAGCACAATATATAAGTAAATCGAACAACTTCATCAGTGTTAGGCGCTCCTTCACGATGTTCAATGCTTCTATTAGAGTTGTAATGGCCACAATAATTTCAATCCATGAGTTTACTTATCAGTAAGTCATCTTTGTTTTTTCAAACATTAAATCCTATAAGGAGAAAAATCAGTAACCATAACTGATGAATTATTTTATTTTCTCAAATTTGAATTAATTTTATTAATTTCAACACAATCCTTTTGTAAGCCAAAATTAATATAACCTTTAGGATTCATTTGGGATGGCTTTCTTACTGCTTCTTAAAATAGGATTTTTGTACTAGAAATCTACTTTAATAAGCAATAAGAAAATTGTCCCAAACAGAACCTTAATGTCATTTATTTTGGAAGGTAAAACACACGTCTTGATTTAATTACTTCAGGGTTCTTAACATTGGCCTTTGCCTCATCATGAAGATATCAAAACTTACCAACCCAACATACAAACATCATTATTAACAAATCGTTGCAATCTTCAGATATTAAGATTACTTATCATATACATATTCTATTTCGTTAATCCTAATTACACTCCAAATCTGTTAAGTTTTCTCTCCAATTCTCTAACAAGAATTGTCAAAAGGCAAAATCAATGCATACTTTAAACTACCTGGACCAATCATAGTAAGCCAATAAGATCCTTTAGTTATGCAAATAAAATAAAGGATGATAGTAATATATTGATTTCATCCTCACCAATTTTGGAATATCAACCATGGTTTCATACTTCGGAAATTTTCCATGGATATGAGGAAGTTAGATCCCTGCAACAAAATGAGACATTTAACAATCATGTTATTATCACCAATATCATCCCAACATGCCATATAACCAACAAATTAAATCAACTATATGTTCGAGAGGGAAGAAAAACACCACAACAAAATAATTAATGAAGTAAAAGCAACAGAAAGAAAGGACATAAGGATTTAACTTGGAAAAATTTAAAATCGGGAAAAACTCACAGAGTCACACCACACCAAGAAATCCATTATGAAAATTGGGAGAAATATGTACAGATCTCTCTTCTCTCACACTCTATCCTTGATTCTCTCCTCTCTTGCACTATTCTCTTATTCAAAATAGAAGAGAAAGTAAAGTCAATAACATCAAGGGACAATGCTTAAAAAAAAGAGAGAAAATAGTCTAGTCCGCCTTGCAGCTCTGTGACACTAGTTTGGAGCGTTGTGGGGCTCAAACCTGCAATGTTACGACACTAAACAATGTTGTGGCGCTTACTCTAGAGCAATGTGGCGCTCTGCTCTATGTTGTTTCTCCTAGAAAACTCTGCTCTATGTTGTTTCTCCTAGCAAATTCTACAGCTCCAGAGTACTCGGAAACACAGCGCCGAGGCCCTTGGGTACATAGCACTGGGGCGTTGCACAAAAAAAAATCTTTTGGGTGCAAAGCTCCTGAACCCAAGCATTGGTTAAACCCCCCACACCCACCAACAACCATGAGAAATTGACTTGAGGTCCAAGTAACAGCACAATCCGATTGATCGACATAATCAGATTCCACACAGATTAACACCATACAATTTAAAGAAGTGTACTCACCACAACCAATTGATAGAGGTTATCTCCCCCTCAAAATTCACACTTAGATCCCACAGCTGTTCAATTTTTCATGTGTTAACCATCTTCTTCAGAAACCTTAAAGCCTCTACTTTTCATTGTAGAAACCAGAATGCACCTCAGCATTGTTCATCACCTGACAAAAGCCATGAACTTTGTGAAATTATGTGAAATCAGAGGAAAATGAAAGATTTGAAGTTTGCAGTTCATGGGAATGATTCTAGGTTACAATTACATATTTGAATCATTTAAAAACTCTCAGGCCGATCATTCAAGATTATGAATTTCAATGTGAAAATAGACCAAAATACATATTTGAATCATTTAAACCATCTATCACCCATGTCTCATCCTCCAGTTGTATCCCCTATATGTGGACTAAATATTCAATAAGGAGCTAGTCACGTGGTGTGAACTAGCATTCAGCCAAAATGGCTAATGGTTTCATGATGGGGAGGTTTTCCCAATCGTTTGATGGTAGCTGAGCAGCTGCAGCTTTAAGTTTGTCTGAATGTGGACTGATGCAAGTGATATTTAAGATGTGGCCTAAGTAGTCCATGCACTGTTCGAAGGAGATGGATGTGGTTCGATGAGGGAAAAATTATTCTGTGTAGGCTTCGGATGGCGTCTGGAGGCCAGCCAGAACACGCCACATCATTTTTTTTGCTAGGTACTAGTGCTCGATATTGCTATGTATTGGATGATGTGGAGTGTTTTGATCGGTCTCTGGACTGTACGGTATGTGCACAGAATAATTTCTCTAGGCAAGGAGCTATATTGTAACCCAAGTTATCATAAAAGCCATATTGTACCCCAAGATATATCATTAAAAAGTCACAAAATTTTGTAGATGTAGAAGTACATTATTCATAAGGTCAAAATTTAGGGGAGAAAAACACTTTATAAATTGAATTTAGGAGGAGAAATGTGAAAATTAAAAAAAAAAAAATTAAGTTTAGGCTCAGTCGCCAGTTTAGGAACAACTCCTTTTGCACAGTCAATGTAAGCCTTCATTTAAAATGGAGACTTGTTACTGGGAGTTCAAATCTCTGTTTGAAAAAAGACTTACTGTTGTGATGATTTGAAAATTCATGTAAGTCTCTGTTTTAAATGGAAACTCACAGCTATTAATTTTTTATATATATTATATGTATAAAAAAGTATATTTTTTTAAGATTAAAAATGATTATGATTTATATTAATTTATATAGACATTGTATTTTTAATAAAGTAATTTTAAGGATAGAAATATAATTTAAACTGACATAAATTCATTTATTTATTTTTATGAATTAATTTTCTAGAGTGTTTTTTTATAAAAAAATTTGGCCTATTCATAATGTTATTTAAAATTGCCGATATGTTTGTCAAACTAAATGGCATGAAGAAAAGTTCATAATGTTTGTCATGCATGTTACTTAGAAAATGTAAGTATCCACCATTTGAATTTGGTGTTATATTCAAATCGAAAGTCCAATTTTGAAAAAATTATACCAACATAGAGTACTAAGAGTTCATCTACCCTTGAGATCAAAAAGAGGTTCAGAATTGTGACAAAGTGATGTTAATGAATCTGCGGAAGAAGAAGATGCAAGAACCAAGAACTAGAGAACAAAAAAACAAACTCAAAGCAATATCATATTCTTCATTTTCTATCTTCTTTCTTACATACTACCATTCTATATAACTTTCCATGGATAATTGTACTATTGCTAAAAAAAAGCTTAACAACCCAAAAGCTACATTGGCACCGGACTAGAGGGGGCTTGACAAGCAGTCTTCAACGTTTCGATGGCTGAAGTTGAGCACAACAACTATAAGAACCATTTCTTGAAATGATCTACCACCTGAAAATAATTAGGATACAGAAATAGAAACAAATATTGAGCAAAACTCAAATCTTATTAGCCATCCCCTTTTATAAGACAACATCCCTTTATTTATAATAACTTATAGGCTATTTAAAAGACTATATTCTTAAATGAAAAAATAAAAGCCAAACTATATAATTCTATGTAACTAATATAAGGACTAAAGTTTATTGTCACTAGAATAGAGCAACATCACCGACATCAGCCTATCAAGGTAAGAGGAACTTTAAGCTCGTAGTAAGATGATATATTGACAACAATAAGGAGGTGGGTTTGGTTGGTTGAATTGGTCCAGATAGATTCATCGGTGTCAATTTGCCTACCGATCTTCAAACTCTCAAGATTAGCACAACCAGATGGAACACTTATGATTGTGAAATAATCTGGAGCCATTTTTGTTTCTTTCAACATTCTAGAGAAAAAGATAAGATCTTCAAGATCCAATCTATTATTGTGGCATGCAATTATCGCATTCCAGGACATGATGCTTTGCTCGCTCATCTTTTCAAAGGGGGGATGGAGCAACATCCATCTGGTTTGATTGCGAGTACACTAAGAGCAACAAATTCCTACTCGATATGCTTCTCACTCTCATCTTATCAACAACCACCTTTTTTATCAATACATCACCACATTTTCTATGCATATTGAGAAAGGAATTTGCAAGAGGATTGCAACCACTCATACCTAGCTTAATGATTAAAAAATGCATTATCCTTCCAATGATGTGATCCTCAATTGCAATTTCGTTATCACTGATGGCAAGCGTATTTGTTGCCTTATTCAGAACACTATGAACACATAGTTTTGGCTAGACATTTAACTTGTTTTTGTCATCATCATGCATAGGCTTATCAACACCGAGAACTCCAAAGAATATGTTGTTATCAAATGCGACCATATCAAGACCAATAACTTTAATGAATATGTCTTCATAGTACATGGGCTTTGTTACACTCTAGGATCTATATTGGAAGAATTGCATATGTCTTTCATTTTAATGATTTAACTATAGCTTACCAATAAACAATATAAAGAAACATGATTGCATTTTTGTCTTATCCAGAACCTCATATCATAAGATCCTTACTCTTTCCTGAAAATATGTAAAACCACATAATGAGCACATAGTCCAGCAAGTAACTAAAATTTTACAACTGAAATCAATACAAGATAAAAGAGAACAATATACTATAACTTATATAAAGAAATATATGCATCAATATCTATATTGATTATTTGTATCAATTTATCCTTCTATAGTTCATTATCTGCATCAATTTATCCTTATATAGTTCATCATATCTCAATCCATTACATCACAGTCATAGTAGCAGTAACAGTGAACAGTAATAATGTCAATAATAATATTAGTATCATGATCAATAATGTTAAATAATATTCATGATAGTAAATCGTATTAGCGTCAATCATAATATCAATATGATGTTCATAGTAGTATTGGTATCAACATTCATATATTCAATGAGTGTATCTTATGAGTATTTTAATCCTCCCAATAAGTAGCCCCTTATAACTTACAATCAATATTCTCCTTATAACTCACAATCAATTTCTAGCTCCTTATGACTCACAATTACTGAATCATGTGGATCAGTAGAGTATCATGTGGAGTTACCATATCATGTATATGATATTATTCAATACTTCATTTAAAATGAAATAAAATTATATCAAATCATTCAAAGTGATCAAATCTATAATATATCCAAAATTGCACGATGAAAGCTTATGAAATTAGGAGAGAATGCATTTTTGACAAATTTAGGAGAGATAAAATTTGTAGAAATCAAAATTATTGAAAATATAAGTAAGAGATTAGTCATTTACAATGAATAGAATAAAATTTATAATATGAATGACTGAAAAATATGATCCAAATATATTTATCTATCCTTTCTCTTCTTCCCCTCTTTCAATTTCTTCATGTTCATGGCCTAACGCCACAGTGCTCACCAAATCAATGCCAAAGCACTGTACTTCAAAATGTTTATATTTTTTCAAATAAACTTATTTCAAATATTTGAGTTATTACAGTCTCATCATAGATAAGAAAGATGAAGATTTTGATAATGGATCTTTAAACCCATTGAATATGAACTTGATTGAGGGCGCAGAGGAAGACTAAGGAGGCAGCTCTTCAAACATGTCTTCATAGGAAGAAGGGATCCGATCGGTCGACATACCTTGTCCACCATTGGTTCATAAGGATCTGACCAAAATGAAGGAACTAGAAGCCTCCATGGGAGCATATTTTCCCTGGGGTTAGATGTCAACAAAGTACCTGGTGATGGTCTCCATGTGCTTCCTTTGTTCAACCCTTTCTAGTCGCTACTGAAGTTGGGTACTTTCTCATTTTAGATCTTCAATTACTATTTCTTTAATTGATCTTTTTGGATTCTTGTAAGACAACATCTTGGCGGCTTTGTCAAGATAGTTGTGAAGCTGAATTTGTGGCCGAGATGAATTCTAGTTGTTGAATTTTGGCCAAGAACCAAGTATGATGTCAGGCGTGTGTTGGGGAGGAGGAGAAACTGGTGGCTGCATCTTTCTTGATTTGAAGAAGATAACAACAACCATGGGTGGTGGAAGTAGTCTTCAAGAGGAGAGAGAGGTTGCTGGTTGGACCCACTAGAAGAGAACAATAGTTGCAAGATCAGTTAGAAGAATAATAGCCTCCAAGAAGAAAGAGTTCGTTGTTTTTGGATCGTCTGCATAAGCCACAATGATCTACAAGTGTGGGCTCCTGGAAGAATGCAACAATCTTCAAGAGGGCTACGTATGATGACTTCTCTAGGAGGGAGAAAAAGCTTGGAGGTACGCTTACTTCTCCAGGAAGGAGAAAAAGCTTTGGGTTCTCTACCTTCTTCAGAAGGGAGAAAAATGATTCAAGGTCCACTGTCGTCACCAAGAAGGTGACATAGCTTCCGGAACTCCGCAACATTAAGTTTTGTGAAAGTGAGTCTGTAAGGACTTCTCCGCCTTGCTATGAGAGTAAAATGTGAGTCACATTGTGTTAGTGTAATACTCGAAGAGGAGGGCTCCATGGAGTTGACGTAAGTCAAGGTTGACCGAATCACTATAAAAATATTTAGTGTGCTTTTTCATTTTTCGCATGTTTATTTTCCTGCAATTTTCTTTCTTTGCAAGTTGAGTTTATTGGTTTCAATCTTATCAATCAACTGCACTGAAGTAGTATTCATGCATAGGGATTTTTAAAATTACCAATTAATTTATAAATACA